CCAGAGGGGGTTAAGGTGGCTGGAATGTTGTAGGACGAGCCAGAGCCCAGCGTGACGGCAGCAGAGGGACTAGTGGGAGAGCAGCAGGACAGGAACCTGGAGAGGGGGGTGGGGTCTGCGGTCACATCAGGTTCCCGGACTTCTTGGCACCTGAACAGCATGTGGCTTTAAACTGGAGTGAAACCCAATGTCACTCTTCTAAGCAGAGGAAGAAACTGACAAGACAGCTCTTAAAGAACTAGTGTGCAGGGGACAAATGTCCTAACGAGGAAGATACATAAGAAAGTGACAGGGATACAGTAAGAAATGATCATGGTTTATAGGGCAGGGGGATGAAAATGTGGTGTGAGGGATGGACCTAGACTTTTAAGGGTAAGGGAACCGAATTCCCTGTTGCACTGAAGCTTGAAGTCTGAAAGAAACACAGCACAATGATGACTGCAGGACTCTAATGTTACCCCTGAAAACTCCAAGGCCTGTGTTATGAACAGAATTTTGTCTCCTCAAAAGAATTCCTTATAAAGCCTAACTCTATACTTGCAGTTATAATTCAACACAGGGGTGGCATTTTTGTCATGTTAATGAGGGAAAATCAGTGGAAGGAATGGGTTCAGTTCATCTCTTTTGACATCGAAAAGGAGATTAAGCAGGAAGAAACCAGAGATGGGTGAAGAGAAACGTCAGGGCACAAGATCACCAAGCAGCCAAGGAGGAAGAAGCTGAACAGAGACAAGGACCTTCCTCTAGAGGTAAGAGAAAGCCTTCCGTGAGTGCCCATGATTGGAATCCACACTTCTTGCCTCCATAACTGTCAGAATATAAATTTCAACTTGTTAAAGCCATGTGCTTGTGCAACGTTTGTTACACCAGCAATGGTGAGCCATTGTGTAGATTTGCAAACCCACAAGGGGAGAACATTTAACGGACTGGACGCAGACGTTACTCACAGTACATTGAGGCCAAAATGAGACAAATTCTTCAAAGTAGAAGACTACAGTCCTATAAGAAAACACTACTCAGCAATTAAAGCAAATTGATGGCCCAGGAAAGACTTTTCCTAATCTAAGTTTACACTAAGGGGATTATCTCAAGGGTACATACCAGATTATTTGATTTGTTTACAACATAAAAACTATTAAAAAGAGAATATATTGACTTAGGAATATACCTTTTTTTTTTAATTCTAATTTGGGAGCAAATTACAGAGAAACTTCACTTTGCATAGAGCAGTTCACATACACTTTGTCTCATGACATTAACTACAATTTCCCACAATGCAACAGCTTCCCTGTCACTTTGTCCTGATAGTTACATCTTCTCCCTGACCATGCCCCCATGCACTCCTGCCTCCTGAGCTGTCTCCCTGTCCATAAACAACCCTTTTTTCTCCCAGGATTGTTTACTCCAAGGCATATATCTAGCTCAGCTAAATGTTCAACTCATGTACCTATCATTTGTTTGGCTGGAAGCCACAGGTGTAGGTTCAATTCCAGACCTGAAGGGCAGCTGGAGGCCACAGTCTCAGTGGTTCTACCAGGTTCTATCAGACCAGCAAACCTGGTCCACTTTTTTTTTTCCTTTCAAATGACTTTTAATTTTGTTCCACATTGTTCTCCCTTGCTATCAAGGATCTTCTCCATAGATTCCCCTCTGAGTGCCTGACAGAGGTAGCTGGGCACCATCTAGTTCTTCTGGTCGCATAGTCGTATAGGCTGTATATTGCATGGTATACCAGTCGCTAGGAATAATAGTTTCCATGAATCTTTGGTTTTCTTCATTCTTCTTTGCTCTGGATGAGAAGAGACCCATCATTGCATCTAGATGGCTGCTTGCAAGTTTTTTTTTTTTTTTTTTTTTTTTTAGGATTTGGGTGAAGATTTACAGAGTAAATTCACTTTCCATACAGCAGTTCACATATACTTTGTCTCATGTCATTGACCAAAATTTACAATGCAGCAGCTTCCCTCCCACTTCCTCCCCATAGTTACCTCCTCCCAGTGTCCATCCCTTCATACTCTTCTGCGCCCTGAGCTATCTCCCTGTGCATAAGCAGCCCTTCCTTCTCCCATGATTGTTCTCTCCAGGGCGTGTGTCTACTTGAGGTAAATGTTTAACTCACATGCCTGTACTTTGTTTGGCTGGAAACCACAGTTGTGGGTTCAATTCCAGACCTGAAGGGCAGCTAGGGGCCATAGTCTCAGTGGTTACACCAGGCTCTATTGGACCAGCAAACCTGGTCCCCACCTTCTTTTTTTTTTTTGCCTCCAAATGATTTTGAGTTTTGTACAACATTGTTCTCCCTCTTTATGCAGGATCTCCTACATCCCTTCCAAGTGGATGGCAGGGGTAGCTGGGCACCATCTAGTTCTTCTGGTCTCATAGTTGTATAGGTTGCAGATCGGATGGTGTACCAGATGCTTGCAAGTTTTTAAGTTCCCAGTCACTATTCACCAAATGCAAAAAGGACAAGGAGGCCACATGTTCTACCTCCTCTAATCCCACAAGACGGAGACAGGATTACCAGCACTAACCCAAGGCCTATTTCTGCAAGGCCAGACATGCTGCCTCCCTCCAGCCCTTTCACCAACTGTTCATCCCAAAGCACCCACCACCTCTCTCCTGGGTTTGATAATTTGCTGCAGTAGCCACACAGAGCTCACAGATTTTGGGGTTTATTAGGGAAGCACCACAGGCTACAATTCAAGTTCAGGAAAATGCTCAGTCTCTCTGCCAGCTCACCGTCCATCCGCCAACAGTCTCTCACAGTCTCTTTCCCAGCAGTGCACGTCCCTCGGTGTCTCACTCAGCAATGCGTGTCTCTTACATCTTTTTCCCAGCAGCATGGGAGGAAGGAGTGTAGGGAAGGGAATGACACAGGAAAGAAGTGGGTATGGGGAGGAAGTGGGAAGAGAACTGTTGATGGTGGGAGATTACAGCAAAGTCATGAACAAACTGTATGTGAACTGCTACATGGAAGATGAATTTGCTTTGTAAACTTTCACAATATAATTAAAAGAACAAAAAATCTGTCAACAGGCTGAATCATCAGGTTTGTCTAGGCAGGGGGGGAGTGCGCCTAAGACCATTTCTTTGTGCTGTAATATGGTCCGGGTGAAAAGTAAAGCAGACTAGGGGCAAGGTTGTGGTGGCTTCCTGGCCACTGCCAGCTACCCTGAGAAAGTGAATACTTGGAACTGCGGGCTCAAGACCATGTCCGAGGGCACACCAAGCTCACCTGGCATAACACACTACACAAAAGCATTGTTCTACGTCCTACTGTGGTGAACGGTCATCTAGATAAAACAATAGCTCTGTCCTCGTCCAGAGCAAAGAAGATGAAGAAAACCAAAGATGCAAGGAACCAATTAGTCCAAGGGACGAGTGGACCATGTGATCCTTAGCCTATATATCCATGAGACCAGAAGAACTATGTAGCTGGATCAGTCCAGGAGACCTTGGATACACGTAGAAAAAAACATAAAATCACAACAAAAAGAACAGGTTTGCTCATCTCATAGAACCTGGTGAGACTATAGCCTCTAACTATGCTTCAGGTATGGAAATGAACGTATTCCTGTGGCTTCTAGACAAAAAACAGGATATGGGGTGAAAATTTACACCAGGTTAATACACGACTTGGACCAATCAATCACAGGGAAAAGGAAGGGCAGTGTTTTCACAGGGAGACAGCTGGGGTAGGGGTGGGCAGGTAGGAATGCATACGAAAGAAGAACACAGGGAAGAGAGGGAGGAAATGGGAGGAAAGCTGTTACACTGGGGGAAATTTCAGTCAATGTCAAGAAACAAAATGTGCATGAACTACTGTCTGGGAAATGAATTTGGTCTGTAACCCTTCACTCAAATCACAAGAAAAAGTTAAACAAACAAACAAAACACATAGTGGTCATTTTCAAACTCTATGCAAACTCAACAGGAGCTGCTTAACACCCGTCCGAGGCTATGCACTGGCTCACGGAGCCCAGAGCGGTCAGTCCAGTTGTAAACATCCTGCACCACTGCCTCCTGCAGTCTGCCCCGCACAGACACCCCCACCCACACTGCGCTTCTCTGCTTCCATGACCCCCGACTTTCATCAAACGAAGAAGGAGACTAGGCTCTCTGCTGCCTCTGGGGTTCACACACTGAGTTTCCCCAACTGAAATCCTCTTTCCACGCTCACCCACACCACACCCTATCAGTCCCGTCAGCACCTAGCAAAACCAAACTAAGTTTCTGATTCCTCATTTAAACGGTTCGACTACTTCCATCCCACAGGCTTCCCATTTTGGCCTCATTCCTGCCGTTCACTGTGGTTACGCTGGGAATAGGCACTGTTTCTCCTCCAAGAAGCATTCAAATACTCTGAAGTGTGGCTCTGCGGTGGCGCAGACTGTGGTTCACTGCCCGCGACCCCTCCAGCAGGGACACACACACTGCGGGTCTGCACCCCATGCGCCCTCCCGGCCTGGAGGCAGATCGTTCAGCAACGTCCCATTTCATGTCAGACCAACTCGGACCGGGTGCACTGCTCCTCACACGATGGTGATGCAAATGTCTCTTACAGCCAAAGAAATACCTCAAAACGGGCCAGAGACTGAAAGTTCTCCTTCCGACACTGGAATAAACAATTTCTTTAATGCATTCTAGCTCTGCCGCCTGTTTCTTAATTCTTCATCTGCCTTAAACACTGCAATGGGGAAGAGACGCAGACTCAAACAGGTGCCACAGAGACCCTTTCATTCATCCGTGGACGGGACACAGCCAGCCACCCAGGAGGAGGGAGACCAGCCGCAGGTATCAGCACAGAAAGCTGAACGGGGTCCGCGGAGTCACGGCCCCGGGGGCATGATAGAGGATCGCAAACAAAGGGAATCTCCAGTCAAGATGCCGACTGGAATTGGGGTCCCACTGCAGAGCACAGCCCTCCGCAACAAGTGCCGCACAATGTAGGCGCCAACACAACACCTGTCACCGGTACCGGACGGGGACGGCCTCCTCACCTGAACCTCCATTTGGGAACGACCGGCAGCGCTCAACACAGTCCCTCCTGAAGGGCCCAGAAAACAAAAAGGAGCCGTTTCCGGGAGGAAATTGTGGTCGGGAACTCGGCCCTGAGGGAAGAACAGACCGGACCCTGAGTTCACACACGGGCCCTTCCGAGACCCCTGGCTACCGACACGGGAGGGGCCCCGACATGTTACCTGTTCCCGCCCCGAGAGACGCAGGTCCCGACCGACCAGACGCTCGGCGTCCAGGAAGCGGCTGCGAACCCGGCCTGGGATCGCGCGGGAAGCGGCGGCGGAGGCCGCGGCGGCGGCGGAGGCGCCTCGGGGACAAGAGGGCCCAGGCTCCGGGAGGCGGAGACCGGGAGTACGCGGCAGTGCCTCCGACCGGGACCGGAGCCTGCGGGGGAAGCGCCAGAGAAGCAGGCCGCTCGGCGACTGACGAAAAAGCTACTCCCAGAGCAGAAGCGATAACCAATCAGTTGCGCTCCTAGCCCAGGACCCACACTTCCGCTTCCGGTTTCCGGAGGCTCGGTTCACGTGAGCGTGGGTGCCTAGGGCAAACACCGAGCCCGCGCCCTTTTGACCTTGGGAGGGGGCAGTGGTTCCAATGCAGGTGTAGGACCTCTCTTGACAATGCTTTGTTCCTCTCTAGAGAAAAGCCTAGGGATTATTCAATCCGTTTATGAAGGGAAAAGCGGATTTCAGTAGTCAAAGACCCCCTTGGGGAGTCGAGGAATTTCGTAATTGCCGATTTGGCTGTGTGACAAAATTTTACTGTTTTAGAAATGAAATAATTTTTTTTCCTCTTCAGTATTTCCACACTTTAGAATTGTTGAAGTCTGTCATTTGACCTCTGTTTCCTGGTTCATTGTCTCTCTGCCTAGGAGCAGGACCCACACTGTGCAAACCCAGTCTGATCTCTCTAAGGGCTGAGGACTCTGCAGAGAGGAGTTTTCCAAGGTGAGAAGCACAAAGGCGCCAGTCATTTGTCAGGACCAGAAAGTAAGTAAAGGACGAAGTACCTTTGAAAAGGGAGCTCTGGTAGCATAGTGCCTAAGGCACTTGGCTGCTAACCAGAAGGCTGGTGGTTCAAACTCACCAGCCACTACTTGGAAGGAAGACGGGGCAGTCTGCTTTTGTAGTGATACCACTTTAAAAACCCAAGGAGGGATTGCTATGACTTGGATCCAACTGTAAGACAGTGCGTTTGGTTTTTTGGAGACTTATTTTTTATAAACCAGTAATTGCAAGCTGGATATAAGTCCAAAACTTTTCTACCAGATTTGGCTCACAGGACTTGCAGAGAGAGCCCTAGCTCTGCCCTCAGAATGACCTAGTAGTGGGAAAACTGTTGGAAATATGCCATGCCATCTTCGTGGCTCTTCAGGGTTCTTCTTCATTCCCTGCTGCCCCACCCACGGTCATAAGTCAGTTAAAGGAAGTTGAAACTGAGCTTCTTTCAAGGCATGAATTTTAAAAGGCAACATAGCCTCTGATAGCTTAAGACCTCTTCCCCCAGCTCTGATGTACAACCTCCTAACCCCAGGTCTATATAAGACCACCCTCTTCCTGCTCTACCTCTTCTTCCTCTGTTCTTCCCTTCTTCCTCTTTCTTCTTCTGTTCTTCCCCTTCTTCTCCGTCTTCTTCTTCCTCCTCTTCTTCTGTCCTTCCTCAGTGCAGGCGCCCTTTCGCCTCTTTAATAAAATCTCCTGTTGGGTACCCTGCTGTGTGGCGTGGTCATCGAGTGCCGACGGAGCTCTAACAAAAACACTCCCATAGAACTTGCTAAGACGGCCATGTTTTTTTTAAACATGCGGTATGACCACTGCATTTGTACCTGCACCACCCTGAAATACCTAGGCATTCAATTGCCCAGAATTTAAATGAGCATGTGTAACTTCCTTTTTCATTCCCTTTCAAATGTGCACTCCATTGGGGGAGTCAGTTTTGAGGATGCCTCCTCCTGTTGTTGTTGTTGTTGTTAAGTGCCCTCAAGTCGTTTCCGACTCATAGCGACCCCATGCACAACAGAACGAAACACTTCCCAATCCTGCGCCAGCCCCACAATCCCTGCTATACTTGAGCCCATCATCGCAGCCACCATATCAATCCATCTCGTTGAAGGCCTCCCCCTCTTTCATCAACCCTCCACCCTACCAAGCATGACATCCTTCTCCAGGGAATGGTCCCTTCTTACAACATGACCAAAATAGCTGA